TGGCATTGGTGTGCTACACTGCTTCATCTCTTACTTTTGCTTGTCCTATTTTCAACTCACAAATGTTTTTGTTTCATAATGATATAATTGAGTATGAATGGAAAATAAAAAACAACTGCTATCAACTACACAAATGTCATGAGTCTAATTCAAAACCAAACCAAATTAACTGAGTTGGCCATTCATTAGGCCATATTCAAAAAATCATGTGTTGCCAGGGTTGTAAAACAACTGCATTTTGACATGTAACTTCCAAGCATTAAAAAACAAACTGAGACTGGTATCTTCAAGATCACTAGAGTTCTGAAACTGCATCAAGTAGCAATTAATATATATTTAACAGCATTTGAGTTAGAACTTTTCAGTCATGTCACTGAAATGTCTGCTCGTTATTTGCTATATGAAGTGGCTATCTTGCAACTTTTTGAAATTGAATCTGTATTATATTTCTTTAAATATTTTTTCACTTAAAACAGGAAAATTAGGATAAAAGGGAGCTTTTCATTTTAATTTTTAATGTTAAGTTTTTCCTCATTTTTGGAAGCTTTCCTCTTTTAACACAAATTAATTCAAGGACAGAATTAAAGCTTTGTTTTTTTCTTCTGGAAGGTGCAGTTAATAGAGATTTGTTCCTGTTTCCATTTTTCCAGTTAATATTTTACTGTATTGAGTGTGACTTTATGACAATCTGTTTTTTATTATCAAGATGATAAGATAAAATGGAGGAACAGACATTAACATTTACAACACAAGTTCTTCCCACGTAAAAGGTTGTCTCTCCATTTTTCCCCATTTTGAGTTTATCTTAGGGTTATTTCAATTCTCATTACTTTCCAGACATTCAAGAAGCAGTATATCTGCAGCATTGTGTATATTTGCTCTCATTTCTTCTCATCTTAACATCGAGTTTGTTTCTCAAGAATTTCCCTCTAAAACTGTTTTAACAATCTTCCTCTGGCCTTTGAAGCTTTTTTTAGCATGCTTTGCCTTGTCAATATGTTGGATATTTGGATTTCTTCTCCAAGATCACATTGTGAGGGGACTAGCAGAATATGAGTTAAGAACTAAGACATCTTATTAGCAAGTGACTGCTACCAGCTCTACCACAAAGTGACTCCATTCTTTCCATTTTTAGAGCAACCAGTTGTATCATTGACCATCTTGCTGTCTCCTGCACTTTCCCACTGCTTCGTATTTTTGGCATCGATGTGTCTGATTCCAGCAATGTCTTCTTGCCCTAAGAGGCATTCTAAGACTACCTCCTGGTGACAGGACCATGGCTGTGTGTTACTGCAGCAACTGTTTGCACATAGCAGCTGACAACAGTTCAGTGTCCAGGTCTCCTCACTGCCACATGGGAGTTTGAACCACTGAGCTGCAAGACCATGCTTTCCTTTGCTCTTTTCTCTCCACTGTTCAAATAATCTTTATTTTACAATCTGATATAGATTCAAGAAAAGGGATGGAGTGTCTCTTCTTCCTTGTTCCAGGCTCAGACAGCGTGGAGTCTGGGTACTGACACATTTCTGTGAAGCTGAAACTCCTGTCATTTTGGACGGGCCTGGATTTAAAGTCTCTCTGGCTCTTTCATTAAAGAGAAGTAGAACTCCCACAGAAAAAAGATTCATACAAACTGAAGCTGTAACAGTTTACTAAGGGATGATACAAGTGTTTGCAACTTGAAGATGTATTTAAATTGTTTTCTAACATACATTTCCAGTGGTTAAACTAGGTGCCACAATGATCACTGCTCTTGCTGCTTAATCTGAATTGGAAGCATCAGAATCTCTCCACACTGCTGATTCTTCACTGGGGGTTGCGGATTCCAGTGCAGAACCTCTACAAATGAGGGCTTGTTCTTCAGCATCAGAACTTTTCAGTCCCTTTATGGATCTAATCCAAAAGCCTTCACTTTTTTTGAAGCATTTTTTTCACCATTCATATAATTTTATACTCTACTATAACCAGGACTTTCCAATCCTCAGTTAAATCTTTGTCTTCAAATATCTCTGAATTAAAATGAATACTGCAATAATTGAAATACATGATGGAGTCAAGCAAATATATATAGTATTTATTATTGGTTCTTACAGGCTAAGAATGTAAGATTTTGATTCCCCAGAAGAGATGCTCCCTGTTTAACTGTTTCTTAGTTTTTTTTGGAAATACTGCCTTAGTAAAAGATGTAAAGCTATTGTACTCTTCTTTATCATGTTGTCCATGCTATCAGTTAATATTTAAAGAATACTAATGGACATATCAAATTGTATGTAGTCTATTATTTTGCTGTGGAATATTTGTGTCACATACTCTGCCAGACCCTGGGAATAATGTGAAGCAAATTATTAGGGCAATGGTCCTGCTTGGCCTTCTGTTTCTCGCTACCATTAAACCCTGGATTAGACACTATTAGCTCTTGCAGTCAACAGGTCCATAATCTTGTGGGAGAGACTGTTCTGGCTACTAAGTTAATTATGGAAGGTCTGTATCTTTTCCTTCGCTTTTCTTTTCTGAAGCATTAGTCAGGATGAGGAGCTTCCTCACGTTTATTGGTACTTTTCCAGGTTGATGAAGATAATCCCTAAAGAACTGGCTACCAGGCACTAAAAGTGGAGTCTTAAGTTTTTGCAATGATTTATTGCTGTTGTGATCTTTCATTACATTCACTCTTGTTATAAAGGGGTGGTGATTGAAGCATGAAAATGTCTCACTGTGGGTTTGTCAATGTTGTCATGTACTTAAGACTTAAAAAACACTATGCTGTTTGGATATGGATTGTGTCAACAATAGAAAGTGGTTAGACATGACATCTTCAAGGTACTATAGCATCTAGAATTATTCATTGTGCATTTTGTATTCTGACAAGGTAATAGGGGCAAAATTCCTCTCTGTCTTAACTCTGCTTGTCATTTTTTGCTCAGGATTCGGGTAGCAGACAATCTAGTTTGACTGAATGCATACAAAATGATCTGAAAAATAATTATCCTTTCAAAAACGTAATAAAGGCTTCAGTGGCTGCCTCTTTCTGCTGCCATGGACTAACTATATTCCTTAAATGTTACTGACTAAAGCTGCAGTTCTGGGTTCCTTATGGAGAGAGATTTTGGTGACATTAGTGGGAACTTGGCCTGGGTGAGGAGTGTCAATTGGCCACCTGAATTTTTGTACAAATAGAATGAAAATGGTGATAATTTTGAGACCTTCAGGGTTGTTTTTAAATAACAAATCTTGTTCCCATAGAAGAGGCTGGGAGTTTTGCAATTATCCTATAAAATGTCAATATTTTGATTACATTAATTTACCAAATGTTGATTAATGGCACCTTGGTTTAACTGCATTTTTAAGTGTGGGCTTAATGGCATAGAACTCAGTAATTCTAAAAGAGTAAAAGGATGCCTAAGTAAAGATTACCTTAGAATGGCTGAATAATAGCTGGAAAGATATTCAGCTGACATGGATTAATTTATGAGTACAAAATGTATACCTAGCAGGATTAGATGGACAAAAAGGTTCTCTTATTTAAGCATATTCAAATTATATTAGTCACAAAATTTTGAACAAATCGTATTGCAAACACAGAAATGTTTGAGCAGCCCTCCTCTGTGCACCTCTCACACATGAAATTAAGGAGCAGTGCAGTGTCTGATAGAAGGCATATCTTTCTTGATCCCTCTGATCAGCCTTATGAATTTAGAAGGATTATCCTCCGATCTCCCAGTGTGGTGGTAAGAGGCAGTAAGTCAGATGCTTCTTGTCAGAACAGCAGCCATTGAAGAAAGCATCTTAGTGGTCAGTTAAAAATCAACTGGTTTCTTTTCTCAAATCAGTCATTCTTCTGTTTGTTCTTATCATTCCTACTTACATCTGAGGTAGTTTACTATATATTGGAATGTTATTTTCGCATACATATACATTTTCATCTGTTTCTGAGCTTTTAAAGTAGTTCTTTATTTCTTTATGTCTGCCACCATGTAACATGATACAATATAATACTTTTTGTTTACCTCCTGGAAAACAGACAATTGCATAAAGATTTTTATTATTTATATTGATCTTAAGACACTAAGGTTGTTTCCATCCCTAAAATGGCCCAGAAGTTTAAATTGACTGTATAGGAAATACTGAGAGGCCAGACTGCCATCTTGTGTAATTACCTTAGCACCTTTGGTTATGTTGAGCTTTTCCATATAACACTGAAAGGAGATGAAGATGTCACTATTTGATAGTATAAGGTTATCTATTTTTAAAGAAATCTACAACAACCACAGCACATTTATGTTTCCCCATGTATTTCAGAGCAGTTTCTAAAAGCAGTTCTCATCATGCAGGTTTAATTTCAGTAAGGTTACTCATCATTTTAATTAACGTTTGTAATAATCCTTATCAGCATCATAACTAAACAAGGTGATTCTGTGCAAATTCAACATGAAATTTGGAAATGTCAGAGCATCTCTGACTCATTAATCTTCTTCTATAGATGGTTCTGAACAAAAGCCCTGGATCTGGACATACTCAAGATTTGGAGACATTTTAAATTCAAAGACAGACTTGAAACTGAGCATATATGTTGACATCACCTTCATCTGGCTTCATTCACCTACTTAGAAGGAAGCATCCTCATTACAAAAGCTGCAAATTGATTGTATTCAGAGGTGCATGTACGACAGCACGGAATTACAAGGGAGAGAACTTGCAAGCCCATACTGGAAAACAGAATAGGAGCCTGCCTTGTTCAACAGAAATACAAGTACTTATTGGTCACTATTAATCTAATAGTCTCCTCCCTTATTATAATAAATTACATTACAACTATTGTGCAAGGATACTGGAAATACCTCACTAGACTACATGATGTGGTTTTACTGCTGCTTTTCTCATGCTTTTGGTCTGGATTTCTCTTTCTGGGATGTTTCTGAAGAATGACTCCATACCACAAGTGCTGTGCAGGAAGCTGAGTAAGCAGATGCACAGAAACCCATTCCCCAAGAGCAGTCACTTACCTTTTTCACATCAGGTATATTAAAAAACTTCTTGGTATGAGCAACCCATCCCGCTATCCCGATGTCCAGAGGAAAAACAGTCTCATTGTCTGGTTTCACCAAATTCTCCTCAAAGCTGGAAGTTGGAGTGACATTGAGAAGCCTGGTGGCCACCTCTGGAATACCATTTCGGGAACGGCAAAGAAACATACTACACCGATCAGCTGCCAGCAGCTGTGCTAGCCTCTGTAGGGCCTTGTGCACTATCTTTTCCATATTGCCTCCTTCATCCTGGATTTCTGTTAGCAGCTCAAAAAGTATGTCACACTCCTCCAGACGGGACATGTCTTTGAAGCTGACTCCTTCCTTCACATCTCCAGGGCTCACTTTAAAGATACTTCCCAGCACTTCTGCCCTCATTTTTCGGTCGAAATACTCCTTGGCAAACTGGGGGTTGTTCTCCAAGTACTTTTCAACGTCATCTTTATTCACCTCACCCATTTTTGCTGTATTATTCTTAGGATTTCTTTTAAAACTGCATTACCATCAAAGCAGGAGTGGTAGCAAGAAATCCTAACTTGATACTAGCAAAAAAACAGTACTGTGTACATATTGTATAGCTCACAGGCATAGTACATTCACCTTCCTCTCTGGCTTCCAACCCTTCTGAAACTCTTGAGCTATGACAGAAGGCACTGGCTTAGCATCTTCTTAGTGTGAGATCTTGGAGACTGCTAAATAAAGAGATGTCAGGACACTAAACCCCTGAGCATTCTTAGCTCATAAATCCTAAGGGAATATTTTTAACATTTTAAACAAGCAAAATAATTCTTAGACCTTATAAAACTGTCTGATGTATAGTCATGTATACCTGCATGTTACCTCCTTCATTCACAGTATATATATTGTACCATACACACAAAAGTTTCCATTGAAATTTAATATGAGGAATTCCACTTAGGTATTTAGCCCACATTATACACGTGCACAGATGTACACATGTGTATTTGTGAGAGGTACTTAAGGGGAGGAAAACAGAATGTTACAGAGAAAATTTTAAAATTGCAGAATTTTGTTATCCTCAAAACAGTCAGGAGATGATGGAAATTGGATTACTAAAAGTAATTATGAAGCTATACATGCATAAAATAGGTGAAATCCTAAATACCTGACAAAAGTCTGAGCTTTCTCATGTGACTTACCCAGATGAAGGTGGAGTAAAAGAGTTAGAATTTGACTCAGCACAGACAGATATGACTTACATATATTTTTATTTACAATTTTTTTTTTTTTTTTACAAAAATAGCCCACAGGGAAGAGTAAAACCAGAAAATGGTTTGAATTCAAATTGAATTCAGGAGACAGAAAAATTTTTACTCTACAGGCATAAATAAGCAGACAGGGTCCTGCAGGTACTTTCTTCTGTGCCTTCTTCAGAAAAAGCAGATGTCTGCTGTCTTAAATAGCGGGAAAATGGTAATAACTGTCAGAAAGTGAGCAAAGAAGAAAGCTTAAGTCTGGTTGTAGCTTTATAAAATGTTTGAAGTTTCCCGCCATCAGAAGTTCAGCATCATCCACATGAATGGAAAAGGTACGATGAAAAATATGTTGAATTTTAGGAACAAACGCCCCTACGTGAGAAGGCTGAGTTAAAGCTGAGTGCCAACTTTAACTTAATGACAGCAAATGATCTGTGTTCATTGAAACGGATCTGAACTACAGCACAGTAGGAGGGTTGCAATACAATTAATGTTATTTATATTTGTGGCATCCACATTGATCAGAAGCAGAAAGAGATTCTTGGTGTAAGAATAAAACACTACATACACTTTGGCAATTCTTAATTTGAAAAGAGTAATCTCAAAGTACAACTTTATCTGTCTGCCAGAGAACAGACTGTGTCAACATTCATTTTTATCAACAGATCTAAAAGAATCAACATGGGCAACTGACTCTGATCCTCTGGTGCACAAAGAACAGCTCAGTGATTGGTGTGTAATGGCAGCTAACTCAGTAAATTAGTTTTCCCTGTGATATGAAATGCTGTGTAAGACATAAATTTTTGCCAGACTGTATTTGCCTTAAGGATTTAAAAATGCACATGAAAATCAGCACCCTATGGCCACATTCTGGCCTGGTTCCTTTTCTCTGGTGGGGTTACTTGCCCCTAGCAGTCTGGGGGACAGCATGGGGCCCTTGTTGGTGGGTGTGCGAGGTTGCAGTATCTCGTCCTGTAATTGTTTGTCATGGTTTACACCATGCATAATTAGGGCAAACCAAGAAACTGAAGTGATTTGATAGAAATCATATTGTAGTTGGGAAGTGTTCAAAATACATGTAGATGAGGCCATTAGTGACATAGTTTAGTGGTGGTCTTGGCAGTCCTGGGGTAGTAGTCGGACTTGATGATCTTAAAGGTCTTTTCCAACCTAGTGGGTTCTGTGATTCTATGAATGTACCTTATATTTATGGAAGTCCTCATTTTAGAGTTAGGAAAATGCAATGTATTTGTATTGATAAGTTTTTGTTTTTCTCATATTAGTATTCTACTAAATTTTGTAAATTAGAACATTTAAACTTTTTTGAGTACTAGGTTTGTACTGAATTTTAAAGCTTCTGTGCTGGAATAAGACATTTATTTTCTATTCTAGCTCCTTTCCTCTTCATATTTTCCACACTACTGAGTATTTTATCTTTAGTAATGCTAATTCATATTTGTATTTAAGTTTATTATATGAAACTATATTAAAAAAATAACTTTTCTGGCACTTTCAAATATGATTTTGCTATCATTTTTCCTTACAAATTTTTGTAAGATCACATATTAAGAAAACACATTTGGCTTTGATTCTTTTCCATGCTGAGATGGTTTGGTTTAAAAATACGATGAGCAGGTGCTATATTTTTCAAATTGTTTTAATTTCAGAGAATATCAGAAATGTGTGCTTTGTAATTTTAATACATATGATGTCATTTGTGCATAGTTCACATTGAGGTTCATATTGTTCACATTGATGTTCATAGTTACTACAGAAATCAAATTACTTATAGAGTAGTTCTTAGTAGCAGACCATTCCTGAGCCCTTGTGAAACGTGGAAACTCCTAAGGATAACTGACAGACATGGTTATTTAAATAGATTCAAGCAGCACGTAAATGTCAAAGGTATTTATAAGGTTTCCCAGCACAGTTCAGCGTTTGTATCTGAGAGTCTCTGTCCATCTAATGTGCTTCATTCAGTTAAGATTTTCTGAAGAAACACAAATCAAATGCGTTTATTTCAACTGCATGGGTTTTGATGTGGATAATTCTGTGGCCACTGCCTGCTCATCAGAGATTTATAAGTATAATCCAAGAAATTAATATTCAGAATTTTATTATTTTTTCCTAAATTATTGGGTTGGGAAAGTTGATTCTGTAGGTATGTACAACAGGTACTGTGTGCCCCTAACAGCTGTTTTTTGGCAATGAAATGTTTTGGTATCACTAATCTAGTGCGTTTTGGGGACCTTTATAAACAACCTGAACTTTTATGTTTCTTCTAAAATAATTTGCTGTCCCTTTTCTTAAAAATGTAATCTTAAAAATGTAAACACTGAAGGTAGTAAGTTAGCTGCTTTTTCCATACAGGCACAAATTTTCATGGTCCCTTAAAACTATCAATGGTTAGCTCTGGGGTTCGTGAAATAAGTAGTCAACAGAGATTTTAGATTCTAGGGGAGATTTCCTGAAATAAATGGCCAGTCTAGCATAAAGGGGTTAACCTGGGTTGCCAAATGCGCGGTAGCTTTGACCATGAGCATGGGTTTCTTGGTAGCTTGGCATGAATTTTAGTATACAGACTGAGCAAAGGGCGGCAGCCTTTTAACCTCATCCACTCTCACATTTATTCCCTGGTGATCTTAGGTTACCTGACCATTTTTTATAACTGAGAATACTATTCAGCACCACTGAGAAGGGTCTGACTCTGTCTTCTCTATACCCTCCTGCCGGATATTTGTACACTTGATAAGATCCCCTAGAGTCATCTTTTCAGACTGAAGTCTCAGCTCCCTCAATCACCTCTTTTGTCAGATTCTCTTGTTGCTCAGTGATCTCTGTGACTTTTTGCTGGACTTACTCCAGTATGTCCATGACTTTCATCATTCATTGTTTAAAGCTCTCCTCACCAGGCTGGCCAACCTGTTGGCAAACTACATCTTTCTTTCAAGTTTTTTCCATTTTAGTAGTACATCTAGAAAAACATTTCAATTCAGAATCACAATCCTCAGGTTTGCTAAAGAGAATAAAGGTATCGTTTAAAACTGGGTTTGTTTAAATACTGTTTATAAAGAGCTCAATGTAAATTTACTCCTTAAGCAGCATGTGACGTCATTAAATTACAAAAACAGGTAGCACACAGGCTGGCATGGAGCAAAGGCTAATCTTTTCAATCCCATTCTGTCCTTGACCTCTGTATTCAGACTGCCACCAAGGGGAACAGTTGTGATGGTGACAGTGTATGCAGTTGTCCCTTACAAAGTACACGGAGCTCCTTGGCTCAGCTCATGACATTTGTTGTCTGTTGTTATTGAGTCTGGTTCCACAGGGCAGTGGCTACACTTGGATCAGCTGCTCTGTGCACACAGCAGTCATTCATTTCCCTGCAAACTCTGCCTCTAAGAGTTTACTAGATACCCATGTTTGTGAGTGGCATGCTATAAATAACCATAAGAAGACTGCAAAAAGTCTTTCAATCTATGTTCAGTCTGGCTGTAAATGGATGCTACACCTCCTATTACCAGTTCTTTGAGCCAGCTTTCTCCTAAGAGCAATAGCTAGTCTTGTGACCACAAATAAAACTCTAGTTCTTTTAATATTTAAAGTTTCAATGTAGCAGTGTTCAAAATGTTTTAAATAGTAATTTGATTCTTGTTTCTTCATTTCTATTATGAAGTCATAAATGAAACTAGAATAACTCCCACAATGAAAGCTTTTTTCTGCAATTTCCTTTGAAAATATGACCTTTTCTGTGTATTTTCTGTTGCTATTCCTAATGGAAAATACTGCAGAATATTACAGGCTATTAATGTAAAAAATACTTCAATCACAGAATCACTGCCAGAAAGGCCATTTTTTTGCCTCTTGGCACAATTCAAAGGTAGAATACTTTTCTACTCTTCAGTTAGATACGGTTCCAAAAAAAAGCCCATACTGACTTCTAAAAATCTTTCTATAATATTAGAACTATGCTGCCAGCTTCAAATGGAATGGGAAGTCATATATGAAATTTATCAAGTATGGTGTTGAACTTAGAACAAGTCCTGTAAATGAATACTTTACATTAGAGGTTATTTGCATGTTTATGCATTATCAGTATTTTAATTGTCTGAGATTTCCCAGAATCCAGCAATCATTTGATGCGATTGGCTTGATCTATGCACATTGCTCCGAGAATCAATTGAAATCCTGGCCCAAATTCCGTTATGTTTGCATGAGAAGTACAGATCTCCAAGGGGTGTATCCATGTTCCAAAGATCTGGATGAGGATCACTTGCTGGCATCATTTCTCAGCCAAACCGATAGCCCAAGTCAATCCAAATGATGATTGACTGAAGCAAAGTTTATCCTGTTTATAAGTGTACATAGTTGCAGTGCCACAGCTACATCTGTTAAGACTGAGAAAAAATTCACCCTTGAATTGCCATAATAATGGTAG